TTTGAGGCAGGGTCTGGCTCTGTAGCCTCTCTCAGACTTGTGGCAATCTTCCTGCCTTTGCCCCTGATGGCTGAGAGAACAGAACCGTGTTACTGTGCCTGGCCCCTCAGAGAGCCTTCCACTGACTCTGGCCCTGACAGAAACTTGACTAGAGCTTCAGTGAGGCCCCTGAGCCACAGCTCCCACTTAGCTCACTGATCTTGACTTCCAAAAGCCATGTAAGATGAAAAGTACTTGTTGCTCTAAGTTGGTACATTTTGGGGAACATTTGTTACTCAGCAATAGAGAGCCACTACACTGCTACAATGTCATAGTCTTTTCTCAATTGTTTTGATGATTGGAATTTAATATTTACAAAAGAAAAAAATAAAGACACAGCTGTGTGTGTGGTGACTTTATTCATCTGGCGAGTGACAGCTGGGCTATGCCCCCAAAGCACAACAGGTACCTGGCTGGGTTTCTTCATATCTGCTACAAAGGCTGAAGAAGAGTTGGGGACATAAAAACAACAGCAGCAGCAAAATCCAACTCTGATGTGTTTTTCTCCCCTACTCTTTCTTTTCCATCCCACTTACTGTGAATGTGGGACTCAAAAACAAACAAAATTTGAAGATGAGGACCTGGACTCTTGAATGACCTGGGGCAAATCTCTGCCCTTCTTTTCTTTAAAAATATTTTCCTTTTACTTTTATTTATGTATATGTATGTGTGTGCAAATATTACCCCCACCCATGTCCAGGTTCAGACACAGAGGGCTTGAGAGGCTGAGGGCCCTGACACACTTCTTCAGCCTCTGCCCCTCACTGCCCTTTTAGGTCTTACTGAGCCATTCAGAATGAGTGGAAATTTCCTCAGCCTGCCAGGAGCTTTCTGCCCGCCTTCCCCTTATCTCCACAGTTTCTTCCACGAGGCACCCTTTCCGACTCTGCACTGCTCATCTTTCAAAACCCATCCTGGCTGTTCCACTTCTAAGGTACCCCTTCTGACTTGGCTTGAGGCCTTCTCATTACTGCTCTAGCCTCTTGCCTAAGTGCAGGACCTCCAGCTTCCTTCTCTCATCCTAAGCCTCATGGTGCAGCCAGTGACCCCTTCCAAAATACACGTCTTGTTATTCCCTGCTTAAAATAACCAGTCAATGGAATAATCCATCAATCAATGTTTCAAGGGCTCCTCTTTGCCCTTCAGGAAGGCATCCAAAGCCTTCTGATCGTCCTGTACCCACGTATCCTCAAGAGCTTTCCTAAGAGCAGGCTATGTTAGACATAGAGCCCTGTCCCCAGATTCCTGTGGGATATATTGGTTGGGTGGGTTGTTGACTGAGTAAGTGAATGGGGCCATGCTTGAGCCATCACACATCTCTGCTGGCCCCAGAACTGTTACATCCCACCGTAGTCCCATTTTATAGCCAAAGAGGAGGCAGAAGGGAAGGGTAGCTCTGGAGGGAGAAGAAAAATCAATAAAAATGTAAATCTGGAGGCAAAAAGCTGTCCCAGGCTGGCTGTGGGGAGAGATAAGAGCGGGCCAGCTGAACCCTCATCGACAGTGGAGAAGAGATTAGGGAGCAAGGGAGCTGCAGCCAGGGCAGAACACAGGGGCGAGCCTCCAGTCTACTCTGTCCCTCCTGCTCTCTGCTCCAGGTGCTGATTAAATCCTCTGAGACAGGAGAAGAGAAGGAAACTACAAATCATCAGGTGTGAGCCTGTGAGCCCAGGATGGTTCCTTACCTGTCCCCACAATCCTGTAGACAGGGCAGATCTACCTGCCTTACAGGTAAGGAAGGAGCTGGGCGCAGAGGGATGTGGCTCAGGGTACTGCTGAGACGACATGACAGTCTTCAGGTCTGAACTGAAGTCTGACGTCTCTGCAGCTCCAATATGATGGATGGGCTTTGACCCGACATACTGTCCTGTTAGGAAGACTGTACCGGCCCCTGCCTCTGAAACCACACACAACTGTGCATCTTTGGATTTGTGTGGGGAGGGGAGTGGTGGTGAATTTTGCTTGTTTGTTTTGGATTTTGAGACAAGGTTGCACTTTGTAGGCCAGGCTGCCCTCAAATTCACCATCCTCTTGCTTGTGTCTCCTGAATGGTAGGGTTACAGGCATGCACCCCACACCTGGCTTGGTTTATAACTTTACTTTTAAATGTCGTTTGTGTCTTTAATGAGGCCACTTCCCCCACTTGTCCCTGCATTGTCACATCGTATCGCCTGCCTGGAGGTAGAGGCTTTTGAACTGGGCCTTGATGGAGGATAGGACTTTGTGAAGAGGGGTGGAGAGAGGAACACGAGGGCAGCTGAGTGTATCCAGGGGAAATGTTTGGCATGTGCAGGTAATGAATGGTGATCATGTAGTGAGCTGACCGTGGCCCCCAGAGCCAGGTCCCCAGGGGCATCTGCCTGCCCCAGAGCTTTCCAGCTTCTCCAAGCAAAAGAAATGAAAAGCCAGGCAGTGAGATGCTGTTTCTGGTGCCTGTCCCATCTGCTGCTGGGCCTTCACCAACAGTGAAGCAGGGTAGAGCCTGGCGCAGGAGAGAGAGAGAGAGAGAGAGGCTCACAGATGCAGATAGATGCTCATGGCTCTTCATTGATGGGAGGCTAGGTGTGTGTTTATGTGTTGTTTGGCTTTATGGACACAAGTTTGTGGGTGTGCAGGTGTATACATGTGTGTACGTGTGTATTTGCATCTGTGCCTGTGAATACTCATGTGTGTATATATATTATCATTGTGAACATGTGAATGTGTATTTTTGTGTGTGTCTGTTCTACATAGTCTGCATATGTGCATGAATATGTATGCATTTCACTTTAAGTGTGAATTGGTGTGTGCATGAATGTGTATATGTGAGTGTGTCTTAATGAATGCATGAGATTGTGTGTGTGTGCAAGTGTGCAGGTGAGTATATGGAGTATGTGTGGGCATGTGTGTGCTTGCACACACATGTGAGAATGTATAGCTTCTGTATATGTTCATGTTTGTGTTTTGTGAGTTTACGCAGGTGTGTAAGAATCTGTGTCTATGTATGGCCACATATATGAATGTACATGTGAGCATGTGTGCACATGATCATATGAATTATGTGTGTTTAAGAGGATACAAATTATTAAGTGGGTACAATGGTGCTTGTGTGAGTTTTAATGTTTGTGTATATGCATACATGTTTGCATGCTTGTGCATTTGACTGTATGGATGTGTGCATGTGTGTTAGGAGGCATGTACCTATGCATATGGATGTGTATTCATGTATTTGTGAGCATGTGTCTGTGCCATGTACATGCATATGTGATTATACTTGTGTGTGTGCACACATTTTCTCTCACAGTTTAGAGAAACCCCTTTTATGTTCTTTGTTTTACTCTTGGCACATGGCTGCACATCTCTTTTGCAGGGATACCTAACTCATGGACAAAGGTGTGGTCCCCGGCTCTCAGCTTCCCCAAGAACCAGGTCCTACAGTGGGATGAAGACTTTGTTTCCATCCCCAGTTCCCCCAGAGACCAGCTTCCAGCCAGGTGAATGCTTAGTGGGCATCTGAGCTACTCCTCGGGCCCAGTGAGGCACTCCAGGAATGCTGCTTATCCTCAGAGTGGGAAACTTGCAAAGGGAAGACCCTTGAGCCACTTCTTCCCACTTTAGCCTCCCTTGTGGGTCAGCAAGTGGCTTCTGGTTTCTAGGACCTGGTCAAGGAGGAGTTGGGAGTCCCTGAGATGTACTTATGTCCACCCCAGTTACTGCTGTGCCTAGGGAAGTCACTGTAGCCACTCTGCATAAAGAATGGCTTCTGGGGAACTTCCCAGCCACTGCCCATTTCATTTGGTTTGGCATTATGATGTTGAGGAGGCAAACAATGAGGTCTTGGCTTGTTTGTGGCTTGTGGCGCTGGAAATATAAAAGGAGTGGAGGAGGAAGTGGAGAAATATTAAAGTGTATAGAGCCAGGGCCAGTCTGTGGAGAACCATGAAGGTGTGTGTAGATGGATTATAGGTGTGCAGGGTAATTATTTAATTTTTAAAAAATATGCTCCCCCAAGACAGGGTTTTTCTCTGTATTGCTTTGGAGCCTGTCCTGGAACTCGCTCTGTAGACCAGGTTGGCGTCTATCTCACAGAGATCCTCCTACCTCTGCCTCCTGAGTGCTAGAATTAAAGGCACGAGGCACCACTACCTGCCTTAAAATATGCCATTTTTCTGGATGGAGTGGGTTTTTTGTTTTCTCATTCTGAGTGTTGTAAAGGTCAACTTTCCAACCTGAAGTGAAACCCACTGTCTGAAAGGTCCTAACAGTAAAACTTCCCCAGTGCCAATGTAACTGCACATAAGGAATATTTCAGACCTGATTTCAGGTGACAAGTCCTCATCATACACAGGAACATTACATGTATTGCATAAAATGACTTTCAGGCTGTGTAGATAAGGTAGCCATGAAACCTAGATGAATTTGTGTTTAGATTGGGGTCTCATGCCTGGAAGTCACATGATAATGATGTAAATATTTCAAAATACAAAAAGATCTCAAATCCAAAATACTGCTGGTCTCAGGCATTTTGAAATGTATCCTCATAGTAAAGCTGCATTTGATATTTTGCATTCTTCCTTTCATAAAAATAACTCTTTTGAGTTGTGTTAGCTTCAGTTCCCACAACTCTGGATCCAGCTCTGATCCCACTATTGCTTATGTGTGTGTGTGTATATTATAATATATATTCTTATAGCCCCAAGCAAGTCACTTAACCTTTCTGAGGCAATTTCTCTTCTGTAAAATGTGAGTGACGATGGAGACAGGTGAGGATGGCCTCATGATTGTATTCCATTTTTGGAACCATTACTGGAGGAAATAAACCAGTCAAAGGAAAAATTAGACCAGAATATAAAAGAGGAAACAATACAAGATGCCAGAGTGAATAAACTTGGTGGGCTGAAATCTAAATAACTGGAAGCGACATGGCTGACGTAAACCTATAATGAAGTTTAGAAGGATAAATTTTTGTCTTGGAAGAGGCATTATGCAAAGACAAATTTAATAATAAACTGTGTGTACACAGCCAGGTTATTCCTGTACAACCCGGGGAGCGGGAAAAAAGACAGGATAAAAACCTGCTAACAGACTTGTCTTGGTGAAGACACTTCCAAATTCTTGGCACTGGTTAGTGTAGGCTCCGGTACTGGTTAAACAGGATAGAATAGCAACTAGGCTCTTCATCTTCTTTCTCCTCCTCCTTTTTCTCCTCTTCTTCCTCCTCTTCTCCTCTTTATTCCCTTTGGATTTTTTTTGGAGACACTCTCATGTAGCCCAGGTTAGACTCAAACTCACTATGTACCTGAGATGGCCTTGAACTCTTGATCTTGTCCCTTAGTGCTGGGTCACAGACGTGTGCCACCATACCTGGCAGGAGTGAGGGCTTCTATAGCTCCTTCTGCACAGGAGACAGGTGTCTTGTCCCTTAGCTAAGAGCTAGGAACACGGGGTAAGGACTGCTGCTAACTCCTTCTCCCCTCTTTGTGGTCACATGGGTGGGGCAGGTGGTATCAATAGCTTGGGCTAGTGAGCATATCAGGGCTTGCTCTTCTGCTGCCTGGAAGCAGCTAAGCCAGATAAGACTGGCCAGAAAGCCAGACCAGGCCTGACTTGGAAACTAACTGGAATTTCAGGGACTCCACTGTGCAAAAAAAAGCTCTTCTCTGCCCCTAGGCATCACACTGATCCAGGGATCTCAGTCTGATTTGGTTATCACAAAACCAGGTATTAGCTACAAAGCCCTGGGGGCATGGTCTAGGTTTCTGTTCCCCACAGCCCCTGGTCAAATGTGTAAGATCCTAACAACAGACATTTAGTAGGAGCAACTCCGAATATAAACTGGTCTCTGAAGTCACAAGACCTCCAAAAGAAAAAAATTAGATCTCCCTTTCCCCAATTGTGGCTCCCTGAACACAAAAACTGTGACACCCTGAGTCAGATAGCCCCTCTCCCGCCCCAGCTAAGGCTCCTGACCATATACCTCATCAAACATGGTGTCCTATTCCTTCCTGCTCTTGGGGTGTTCCTTAATCTCTGGACTCTGCCTCCAGGGGGCACCAAATAGACACTTCTTGAAGCCAGGCTGGACTAGGAGAGGAGTCCTTCACAGATGTGCACAGCTGGAGCCTGAGCCTGAGAGCTGGAATCCCCTCCTACCAAGGGTCTCCATGAGCAGCAGAGCTGGGTTGAGGCTCTGTGTGGAGTGCAGCACAGTCTAGTTGGCCTACCTTCCTATCCTAGAAGGGGCTGAGGGATGCCAGACAGTTCTTCCCCAGCAACAAAACTTAGTCCTAGGTTGGTCATATGGCTGTGGAAGGAACAAGGTTAACCTTCTTGCTTGAGAAATGATCAGTACAACAACTCCTTGGTTCCAAAGAGCAAGCAAAGCCAGAAGATTGTTCAAAGTCACTTCACAATTTAGTGGAGGAACCAGGATTGGAACATGGCACTTTTGACACCCATCTTGGGCAAAGGGCTCAGAAGATGTATGGCTATGGCTGCCACACCTGGCCAGGGGGGCTGGGGCTTTTGACCTCCTGGAATCCTTGGGTTTCTTCTCTGGTCCTGATGCTTACAGTTGCTCCTGTAGGTCAGAGCTCTTCACAGTGACGTCGATGCTGGCCTCTTTGTTCTGCTGCCTCAAGATGGCCAAAACTAAGGCAAAGCACACCAGGGATCCACTTTGGAAGAAGAACTGGAGGCCTATGAATCTGAGGGAAGAATGAGGGACCTTGAACTCAGGATCTGCGCTCTTCAGGGATTGGTTTTAGCTTCAGGGTGGGGATGGCAGAGTCACTAGATGTGGTGCAGTTAAGACACTGAGGCCTGGGCATGGGGGAAGCTGGGTAGGGTCTGGTGTGCAGGATGAGTCTAAACATCCCTCTTGCTTTGCCACTGACAGAAGTATGACACAGGCTAGGCCTCCCTACTTCACTCATGGAGGCCGTTGTTTGGCCAAGCCTCCCTAGACAGTCCCAGCTTTCAGGAACTGTGTTCTGTAGCTCAGAGATAGAGGTGACCATTCCCTTGGCTGGCCTTGGTTTGGTTGCAAGTTCTTCCACATCCACCCAGCCTATGATATCCACACCTGTGGGCTTCTCTGAGCTTCCCATTGTACAGATAGAAAGACTGAGCCCCAGAGGAGGGGCCAGGGCTCTTTCCCCTAGGATGCAGCTGTCTAATGGCTTAGAGGTGGCTCTGTCATAAGAGCCTGAGACCTCTTACTCTAGTTGACATTTTCCTCATGTATAATAAGGGGAGCTCTCTAGGTGTAGTAGCTCACCTGAGAAATCCCAGCACTCAAAATGCTGAAGCAGGAGGATTGCTATAATTTCAAGGCCAGTTTGACTGACCTAGTCAGTTCATGAACAGCCTGGGCATAAAATAACATCTGACCCAAAAAAACAAAACAAAAATCCAGAGTTCAGTAGCACATGCCTGCATTCCCAGTACTTGGGAGGCAGAGGCAGGAAGATTGGGGATTCAAGGCCAGCTTCAGTTATATTGGGAGTTCCAGACCAGGCATATGAGACCTCTCTTAGAGGTAGCTTCTGGTTTGCAGGGTGGGTGTGTCCTGACATGGGCCTTCCCACCCTGGTGCTTACCGGCTTCGGAGCAGGTCATGGTCATAGTAGCGGCAGACGGCTTGCCGCCCACAGCTCAGGGCCCAGTGCACACAGGTAGTATCGATGGCACTGCCGTGGATCACAGGGCTGGGCATCCAGGCTAAAGAAGGAGAGGCTCAGGGAACAGCAGAGGGTCACCATGCTCCAATCCCCCACCCTCAGAACATGCAAACCACAAGGGTGATAGGTCGCTTGGCTCAGGAGTCTTTGGCCTCCACCATCCTTTAGCATATATCTGAAGGAAGCCTCCATCAGGCTTGGTGTGACCAAGGCACAATGCTTCCAAACACATGGTCAGATCTTCTTACCCCACATGCCTGGGAGCCCTAAGATACCACTCATGCCTGTGTCTCCCAGGCCTGGCACACAGCAGACATCTGGATGCCCATCACTACCACCAAGGTTCCCAGGCAAGCTTCTTACCCAGTACTCTCAGGAGCATGAACTGCATTCCCACTGCCAGGATCTTATCTTCTTTCTTCACTCCCCTACCAAGAAAGACATGGATGTATGAGGACAGACCAAGACTCAGCCCCGGCACTGTGAAGCAGCAGGTTTCCATAGGTGGGTTCCACCCGCTATGTCAATCTCCCCTTCCAGGCTGAAGGTCAGGGGGTGTGGGAGGTTCAGGACATACACCTGTCACCCCTCAACCTACAGAGCCTAGTTCCCTGAATCTTAGTTCCACATACCAACTGTCAGGCTCACAGACACCACTGTAGTCACCTCCATCCCACAGCCCCACTGGATTCTCCACTTAGAGATCTGATCCTGGGACAGCTATGCACCAGATCCAGTTTTCCCAGCACTTTGGCCTGGGGTATTCAGCAGCAACTGGCTCCTAAACAGTGTTCACAGCTGGCACTTAGGGGGTGATTCCGGTAACTTAGGGATTCTACACTCAGCCCACTGAATCCCCGGAAGGCAGGCATGTCACTAGCCCTATTCTGCAGACAAGGGGTTTGACAGCTGTTGAGGTTAGAGCTAGGACTCAAGTCACACCAGCCTGCATGCTTAGCTCCCTGCAAGCATCTGCTCCCTCTACATTCTCTCTCACGCCAGCCTGCTTTATGAACTTTCTATCTTGTAATATTCTTTTCTTTCTTCTTTTCTCATTCTTTTGAGACAGGCCTTTTTGTGTAGCTCTGGCTATCCTAGAACTCACTCTGTAGACCAGGCAGACCTAAACTCACAGAGATCTGCCTACCTCTGCCTCTGGAATGCTGGGATGATTAAAGTCTTGAGCCACCACACTTGGAACCTAATATTCCTTTCCAATTTCCTAGACTGGGCCTTGAAGGGTGCACAGGACCAGCCCACAGGGATTAAGTTGGTTCCCTATGCATCCATCTGTGTCCCACCATTGAAAGAGGTTAGATCCACCTCTTCTCCCCCATGGGGTGCCCTCCTCAGGGAGCCAGGTCAGTGCCCGAGACCTCCCCTATCCTCAGACAAGGAAGCAGCTAGGCTATAAAACTAGCCCTGAATCCTGAACTTCTCTGAGTCTAGGCTCCTTGTCTGCAAGATGAAGAGAAAGCTTTATGTCCTTGGGCTGCCAGGAGAATGAAGACAGGACATAGAGGAGCTAGCTAGGACACTGGAGTGGCCTCATTCTTTCAACTCTTCCCTTGAATGTCCCATTCTGGCTGTGGTGAAAGGTTCCCTGGTATCCACCCTGTCCACCCTGTTCTCACCTTAGGATGAGCATGAAGGAAGGTGTGTAGGTAATGCCGGCCACTGCCACCCCCAGGCTGATCAGGAGAATGAAGGGCAGAATCAGGTGACTGCAAGCTGAATCACAGGAACCTGCAGGCACTGTGCCATCCCCTGCCACACAGCTGCAGTTGGTGTAGAAAACCTGGAGTAAGGAGCAGGAGGAGACGGACCTTCAGGAACCTCCAAGAGCAGCAGCTGGCCAAGGGCCTAGAGCCTGGGGAGCTCCCAAGTGTCAACAGCCAGTAGAACAGAGCTGGCTGGAGTCCAAGACTCTGTCCATTAGTTGATATGTGACCAATTGAGTCAAGCAAGGTGCCTGGAGGCAGACTGACTGGGCCACAGCTGTGAGGCAGAGGGACTGTCTCTAGCCCAGACCTGGTGTGTTTGATGGCAGCCTGGAGAAGCTCCAGCTGGCGATAAGCTAAGAAATGGTCTGGTCACCAGTGCCACTTTGGTGCCTGTAAGGAGCAAGGCTGGGAATTCTTTTCCTTTTCCCTTTCCTATTGGTCAAAGTGTCAATGTGTGTGTTTACTTACACGTGTGCATGCATGTGTGTCTATGTGTAGGCACCCATGGAGACCAGAAGAGGGTGTCAGATCCTCTAGGGAGGAATTACAGATGGTTGTAAACTGCTGGTCATAGATGCTGGGAACTGAACTCATGTCCCCTGCAAAGGCAATACACTTTTAACCATTGAGCCATCTTTGAAGCACCAGGTCAGACCTTCTTGACAGATGGATCACAGTTACCAAGGGCCTCCGTCAGGTGTGCAGGGATTGGTCCCATCAGTTCTCAGAGGTGGTACTGCTGGCTAGGGTACCTGGAACCCCTGGGCTTCCTACTTCTTACTACAGAAACCTTGGATAGTTCCCAGTATGAGAAGGGCGGAGATACCCTAGGCATTATCTAGGGGCCTTGGAAGGATCCAAGCTCAGTGGCTCCTGGGATAGACTGGATGAGCAAGCAGAAGGTCCTGTTGTCAGTATGTATGGGGAAAGAATTTTAAGGTGGAGTTATTTAGGAGATAGACTTAATGAGTGACGAGAAGTAAGATGGCAGAAGGAAGGACACTGGGATTGGATTGCTGGCTATCCAAGATGTCTGCCTGCTGCCATGCAGAGCTGATAGGCATGATCAGGCTGTACTGCCAGAACCCTAAGCCCTCATCACTTCATATAACTAAAAAGTGGCCTTTGGGCTCCAGTTACATGGCAAGTAACCCACTGGGCTGGAGACCCCTGGAGCCAGGTTGTGGAGAAACATGCCAACTCAGGGGACTGGCATGGTAGCCCCCACACTGCTTCTTTGCTTGGGAGGCCAGCGGGGATGGATACCACGGCTGGGCACTTTGCCTTTTAGATTCTTCCCCAGGCTTTCCTCATAGGCGACAATGTGCATGCGAAGTTCTCACAGATGTCTCCAGCCTTCCCCACAGTACTGGTTTTACTTTATAAGTCTGAGGTTCAGTCAGTGTCCACCTTTGCCCGTCTCACTCTGTCACCTATCTGAGTGAACCTCGCCTAGACCATCCCATCCCAGATCCCAGGTGTTTATGCTGAACCGAGGAGGTACACGTGGTGAGAGATAAACCTTGAGTGCTGATCCCCCTCCTCTACATGGCGCATCCAGACCTCCATCTTTGCATCCAGTGCAGGTTGGGCTGGGGGCCAGAGACCTGGATTCTAGACCCAGCTCTGGCATAAGGCTCTGGACACTGCCTGGCCCTTTCCTAGGCCTACATTTCCTAGCTGTACAATAGGCAGAATAAAAGTGTGTGCTTAACATCTCTTAGGCACTGTGGCTCTTTGCTTTCTTGTTAGTGAGCTCACCAAGGTAAGCCATTCAGTGCAGGGCCTGGGATCTAGAACATGCAGTGTGTGTTCTTCAAATCTCATGCTGTTGCCCCTGCCTAGTCCTTCCATCCCAAGTCCTTGTTTGCCTAATGACCCTGGAAGACTGTCACAGATGCTGTTTCTTTTGGAGCCCTCTGAGACTCTCCCAAGTGGGCTGTGTCACCCTCAACTCTTGTATGTACTGGAAAGGATCACTTCTGCCCACCTGCAACTTGAAATCCCTGTGGCTCATTTCCTTGAGTAGACCAGCAGCTGGGAGCCAGCTCTGGCTCTCCTACCCGGCCCCAGGCCCCAGGCCCCAGGCCCCAGGATAGTGACACCCACCAAAGCAGAGGAACAAGGCAATGACAGAGGGAAGAGAGAGTGAGTGGGGGGGGGGACACGGAATAACAGGCAGTACAGACTGGGGGAGGGAGGGTGGGTCCTGGAGGCAGAGGTTGGTGGGAAGTTGGCCTTACCTGGCTTTTGCCCAGAACTTCCTGGACCACATGACCTGTACAGCCTGCATGGCAGGGTGTGGTATACTCCACGTGGGCACTGGTGTCGCAAACAGGGTTAAAGTCATCCAATTGGCAGGAGCAGGGTTCTGCGCAGCCAGGAAACAGGCTTGGCCCTGGCTGGGCACTAAGAGAGAAAGCAAATGTGTTTGGCTGGGCTTTCTTCTCTCAGGGCCTCTCTGCAGCCTGGCTCCTACTCTGAGAGCAGTGGCCAGCGACTTCATCTGCAGCTCTTTTCCCAGAGAGAGACACTGCAACTCAGGGGACTTTCTAATGGGTGGAAGTGAGGAGGAGTCTGGGCCAGAGTCTGAGGCACGCCCTTCCAATCCTGGATTCTACATGTCTGGAAACTTCTGCAAATATCCTTGTGCTTGGATGGAATACAAGAGAAACTCCTCCCAGAAGCGAGTGTCAGATAAAGGGGCCATTCTCTCTATGAGCTGAATTACTTCCTTGTCTCAGAAAGTACAGCTGTGATGGGGCCCTGGCGAGAAAACCAACCAGCTGTGGGGCCTCCAACCTGTGGCTGCTTTCCTCTGGGGCCTTCATTTCTCTATTAGCTGGGCTGGGGCTCCCTCCTCTCTGTCACCCTTCTGAAATCTCACAACCTCTGTGTTCATTCTCCTGTTCTTCTCACAGTGTCACACACCGCCACCACAGGACCTACTCCAAGATCCTAGGTGTGCTCTTGCCCTAGCTGGAGAACTCAGAGGATGGACAGGAGCAGAAGCCCAAAGTCTGAAGGGGTGAGCTCTCCGGGGTCGGGGGCAAGAGGATGGCTTTGGAGCAGAGGCTATGACCTGGCTCCATGCTAGGAGGAAATGCAGCACCCTTGCCAGGTGACACTGTATCACCAGTAAAGTGGGTATAACAATAGAATTCATGATAGAGATAACTCGGAGACTCAATGGAACATAAGAGGGGCACTCGGAAAGCTTCAGTGAATTAGAACCAGAACCCATGAGTTAGCTTATAAGAACTTTGGTGAGACTATGAGTGGAATTCCATGTCAGAGCTGAGGGAGCAGAGGAGGAGTAGGAAGAAAACACAGGCAGGCAGCATGGTCTGAGACCAACTAAGCGAGCTAGTTCCTGTACAATTAGCATTGTGGACATCTGCCCAGAACCAAGGTCTCTTACACGCCAAGCAGGCTCCAGGCTTCCCTTGTATGTTTCATTGGGTCCCCATGAAATCTCTATAAGGGGTTCTGGCATTGTTCTATTGCCTTTTCTATTGATTTGTAAAATGATGGTAAATATCCACCGACTTTCATGAAATGTCAGTAGGAGGATCTGGTGCTTGCTCAGACTTGGGGTTTCCTGAGGGCCTGGCTACAGGCCTAGGACAGACTCTGCATATGGAAGGCCCCTACTCCAGAGAGCCTGGCTGTTTGGGAAAAGGCAGGGGGAAGGAGAAAGAAGGCAGAAAGCATTAAGGGTAGGGGCCTGGTGCCTTGGCTTCGATCTGAGTCTGCAGTCATGTCTAAGAGCCCAGGTGAGGGAACCTGGCACTTGAGTGAGGGAGGCTGTGCCAAGGAGAAAGAAGTTGGGGGATTCTAGCTGGGTACTAGGCCAAACTAAGCTTACAACAGCTTCCAGGGAAAAGGAGGTCATCATAGGAACAAGCAGAGTTTCTTAACATCTTCTGCCTCCTTGAGAAGGACTGCCCAGCTCCCTGCTCATCCTCTTTCTCCAAGGCACGCAGCTTGCCGCTTTAGGGCAGATGTAACTTCAGCTGGGAACAAAAACCTCCCTCAGGCTACACTAGGTCCTGCCTCCTGTGGGCAGCCTCTATCCCACTCTGCTGGCCCACAGGTTTTGACCTCCCTGGAAACGTCATCCCATCCCATAGGTGGCTGCACCGTGACTAAACCTCTGGCCCTTCCCAGGCCTTAGCTCCCCTGATGTTCCATCCATGCCTCTTCTATGGCATTTGATGTCATCCTATGACCACTGCTTGCTTATACCCAAGCCCAGGGAGGGGCATGCATAGAGCTTTGTAAGCATTGGGAGGAGACAGCGCTCCAGGGAAGGTGAGAGAGATGGGTGGCTCACTGACTACCCTCAGCGTGCACCTTCCCATGCACATGCCTACTTACCCTAGGTCCTGGGTGATGCCTGCAATATGATGAGTAGAGCAGCCAATGAAGAAGAGTGGCAAGGTGAGCAGCAGACACAACAGCAACGCCAGCAGGCAGAGGATGTTGCACTGCATGGGGCTCAGGTGGAGACGCTTGACTAAGACACCTCCTACCACGATGCCCACAATGGAGAAGGGGATAGCGAGGCAGCCAAGGAGCATGTTGGCAAAGGAGGCTGTGATGGAAAACTGGCGCTCCATGATCTTAGGCAGGAAGATAGCCATGCCTGCCACCATAGATGAGATGCACACCTGGGACAGGACTACCAGCAAGAAGATGGGATGGCGTAGCATCCGCAGCAGCACCGTGGGGAAGACTGTTGGAACAAGTGGGAAGGAGGTCAGCATGGGCAGCCAGCCACACCATCAATGTCTTTCCACCCCCCTTCTGTTCTTTTCTGCTTCTTCCATTACGTTCCACTTCATTCTAGTGTTTTAGTGAATCCCAGGCTATCCCGTTACACCTGATTCCTTTCCATTCTGCTCCGACTTTGAAATTCTCTTCATTTCTTCCAGTTCATCGAGTTACATGGGGGATTATTTAACATGTTTATTTCTGTTCAGTTCTGTTGCATTTGATATAGCCCTATTTCATGCCATCTCATTTGAGTCTATTGAATTATTCTCCCTTCTCCTTACTCCTACCAGGTCCTTTCCATCTTGTCCTATTCTTTCCATGCCAACCTGGACTTGGGTCCTCCCTTCTTTGTCCTCAACTCAGGTGCTCACCGCTTCTCTGCTGTCTCATAGCTAGTGTGTGTTTCCCCAAGAGCACTGTACCTAAGAGATTACACATTTTATTCATTTTATTTCAGAGTAGTAATTTTTACGGTATCGTTGCTTTATCACTAGAGCCCAGGACACACTAGTCATTTTGTAAATACTATTTAATGAATGGGGACCAGATCAAGCATCCCAATGCCTGAGGCAGAATCTCAGGCCTCCAGAGAAAGGGAACTCTGGGCAGCCCTGGGCCAGGAGGCTTCCTGAATGTAGGACATAGTTAGGACTGATAGAATGAGGGAACTTGGAGAGGAATTCCAGGTAGGACACCAGCCTGGAGACAGACAGTAGTCACTGTGTTTGGCATTGGAGACCTCACCAGGCTCTGGGTAGCTCCTGAATCCTGCCTTGGTGCCTTACTCAGGCTTCCCACCCTGAAAGTGCTAATGGCACCTCCTGGGTTCAGTGTCCTGGTGAGTAGGGTGTTTGGGGATGTCCCAGGACACTTTCTGTTCTGATGCATGGAGTTCTCCACTGTTGGACATAAGGTGTGTGGAAGAGGGAAAGATAAACCAGGGTGTGCTGGTGAGAGAGACAAAGCCATGAGGGTCATGTGAGGAGGCCTATTCCTGTCATACCAGAGCCTTTGCCCCTGTGTTACAGGAGGCACCTTCTATCTGTATCTGTCCTCAGAACATAGTCAAAGTAGCATGGTTGCTACCCTCATGGCCTAGGCCTGTTTCCTTCAGAGCCAGAAAGTAAAATCAGCCCAGGAGGGGTGCGTAGGGGCTAACACTGTGGAATGTGTTCTCCTTCAGGTCCCTAGTCCCCTCCCTCCAAATCGTATATTCAGCTAGCATTTGGAATGTGGTAGGTGGCCTCCAGGTAGCTGCTGCAGCCCCTGCCCTCTTCCCTTTCCTTTTTCTCTCTTCCTCCTCCTTTCCTCCTTCTCTCCTCCCTCCATGAGTTGCCCAGAGCATCTGAAGTTCCCTATGCACTGAGAGATGCTTAAATCATCTGGCCTTCACTGCTAGGTAGGCCCCCAGAGAGAGGCAAGGACACACGGTTTGTCCAGAGCCTGGCATTCATATACCCAAAGAGTCTGGAATGTTCTGGTGGGAAATCCCCTTCTCTCTCTCTCTCTCTCTCTCTCTCTCTCTCTCTCTCTCTCTCTCTCTCTCTCTCTCTCTCTCTCCAAACCCTGCCTCATCTCAGAAAGACTGCCAAATGATGACCCCTCCCCCAGAGCTGCTCAAGACCACTCCCACAGGGTATTTAAACTGTCCCTCAGAAAACAGACTCATAGCTTTCTGGTCTCTCTTTCCCTACTCCTCTGGGGAGGGGGGGGGCAATAGCTGGAAAATCATCTAGAAGTATTGTGTCCATTAAACATGGGCTTTTTTCTAATTTGGTTTGATTGGGTCTGATTTGGATTGCTGCATCATTGGAGAGGCTTATCAGGGTGCAGAAACTTTTCACAGGATATCTCTTGCTCTCCTCACTTCTTGCACAGAACCAGTCTCCCTTATGCCCCTCCCACTCTGTTCCTGTTCTTTCCAGCTGCCTGGCTCTGGAGGATCCTCCCTCCATTCTGCTGTACTGTCAAGGCAGTGGACTGTAAGCCCATCCCCCATCTCTCCTCCGCAGCCATGGCCTTCACAAGGGATGGAAAATTCCTGGAGGGCAGGGCCATGCCTTTCCCTAAGCTACCTGAAGGGGAATTCTAGGGGTATGTCTCCTGCTCAGAGACTCAACCTCCTCTTAAGACAGGGCTTCCCTCACTCAGCACAAGGTCTCCACAGCAGACATGCCAGGACCTCCCTCAACTCAGTAATGTCTGTTTCCCTCACCAGCATTGCTCACAGGCCAAGCACTGACCTTAAACAGAACGAGTGTGCCCTCAGCTTAGTGCTGTTCTCTCCCTCAGAAACCTCCCTCTCCTGGACCATATCATACCCACCAGGCAAGGCCCTCCTTTAGCATCCTGGTCAGGTCTCCCACCGGACAGCTTCCCCCTCCATTTACAGACTGTAAGAGAATGTGTCTCCCCATCACATAACTTCCCCAGCCAGGGACTGTCTTCTCTATGATTGCAGGTGGTCAAAGCCAGGCCCTGGAGTCAGAATGGCCCTTGTAGAGCCTTGCTGTCCAGAGGCCAAGTTGGCTAGCTAGCCACAGGGCCTACAGATAGGCTCATCTCCAGCTCCTATAAGCTCCTCTAGAAGCTGAATGGTCCAGAGATGAACTGACCCAGACCACTGATGCTAAGATTTAACTTGCATAGCCAGGCCCATCCAGCTGCTCTCGGGGCTAGAGGCAGAGCAGTGATTAATCTGTTCTTCTGTGGTATAGCATGCTCAGACCTTCCAGCAGTCGGAGGTGTTGAGATCAGCAGTGCAGGCCACTGCCTCCAGGCCCAGCCCCAGCCCCATTCAGACAGTCCATCTCCAGATAACCCAACATCAAATCTTAGAAAACTGGCAAAGATTTGAATCCAATTTTCCTGCTCTAAATGTCTTTGGTGAAAGGTGGTAACACCTTCCGAAACCACAGTAGATCCACAAGCATGGATAAGAACAGCAAGGTAGGTGTGCTCCTAGGACAGATCATACCTTACATAGGCAGTTAAAAAAAAATAGTAGACAAGGCTATCTGTCCATGCCTCATCCTACTTGACAGTCATACCAACCATTGAGAAAGGCAAAGCAAATTTACCAACCTCATCTTTACATGAGGAAACTCAGGTTAGAGACAGAAAAGAGCCCCACTAGACTGTGCCCTGACCAGTGTCTGGCAGACCTTACATCAGGGCCTTTTGACGTGCCTGGCACACAGCAGGCACTCAATCAATGTCCACAGGATTGAGTTCTTTAGAAAATGCTGCCTGGTCCCACTGTGAGCTCTGGTGACTGACTGATTGATTTTCTTGTGTCAGGATCAGGGTAGCATGAAGTGTCTGTCAGTGAGTCTATTTCTTACTGTACTGAGAAATTGTTCTGGGAATCCAAGGACCACAGAGAAGCAAGGACAAAGAACCAGGTCCTTGGCTTTCTACCCATGGGATTTAATGAGCTTGGCGATTTACTGAGCATTTACTCGAGGCTTCCTGCTTGCAGGCTTAGAGGAAAGTGGGTGAAGGACAGAGCTTTGACCTCCAGGAGCTCTCTGCTTATGGCAGAGGATGAACAAAGACAAGGCAGAACTAAGACAGAAGCCCCAAGGATGCTAAGAGCCCAGAGGATGATGGCATGTAGCCTTGTTACTACTGGTGGGAGCCAGGCACATGCAGGGGACAGAAGGGCTCTTGAACACGACCAACAGGGACAAGAAAGATTGTGATGGACATAAGTAAGAGAAGATGTTTCTAGCAGAGAGGTATATATGACCAAACTTACCAGGAGTGTCTGGGCTTGTGAAAGACCCATAGATGCAGATTAAATAATAAAGAATAGCTTTAAGGGACTGTGTTCAGGATAATCTCAAAGGCAGCTTTTATTTCCCCCCTCCATTTTCTTCTGGGCTCACTTACCTTTGATAAACTGGACTACAGTCAGGTCTGGGGCAATCTGGGCCAATCCAGTTTCTTTCTTTAAGGGTTCATGCTGAGAGGAAAGCTCTTCACCCTAGGAAGACACATAGTCAGGCCCAGTCAGCTGGATGTAAGAGATCCATTCAGGGATGGCAGGGGGATAGGCAAGGGAGCTTTGGTCCCTCATCAGGAGCACAGGCCACCATTTTTCCTTTGGTTCTCAACTCTTTAAGTACTCAGTAAGAAGACTTGAAAGACTGAATGAAACTCTTGTGGTTAATCTGTAACACGTCACCGTAACATGATAAATTAAACACAGTGCTGGTGACAATCATAGCCACAAACTATCATCAGTCCTAACATCTCTACATATTTAGTACTATCTTCATAACCAGTTAGATGACCAATTCATGATATTATCATAATATTATCACCGCCTCTGCCCTAGCCACAGGATATCTCTGCCATTATCATTGTTACCTGTACCTTCAAAATCACTGCCAACATTGTGATTATAATATCGTCACCCTTGTCTTTAATTACCTTCATCAGCGTCAATGTCACCAACCTCATCTCTATCACCAAATGACTAATGTTATCAAAAGGGACATCTCAATTCACAGTCCTATCATCACTGCAGCCACCAATAACACTTTCCTTATTGACATCACTATCAATGTCACTGACACTATGTGATGACTAATTTTGGTTATCAACTTGATACACATAGGAAATGTCTCCATCTGATTGCCCATGGGCATGTCTGTGGGTCATTTTCTTGAGTGCCAATTGATGTAGGAGGGACCAGTCCACAGTGGGCAGGATTATTACTAAGCTAGTAGGCCTGGGCTGCAATAAGAAAGTTAAATAAGAGCCTGGAAGAAAACTCCATGAGTAGCTTTCCTCCATGAGATCTACTTTAAGAAGTTCCCCAGATGGAACAGCCCTCCCCGAGTTTCTGCTCTGACTTATCCAGCTTGGACTGTAACCCATAAGATGAAATAAACCCTTTCCTTTCCAAGTTGCTTTTGTCTGAGGGGTTTATCACAGCAACAGGAAATTAAGTTGGAACATTCCACCAAGGTTATCTATCTCATTACTGCTATCTATCATCAGTGTCACCATCATCCTTCACAACTCAGATCACCTAACATGATAAGCATCCTATGGTCCCTGTGGTCTGATGTCATTACACTTTTCTATACAGCCTGAAGTCAGAGTCAGCAGTGTCAGGGGAGAAGATTTTGGCTTGGTGTAGGGAGAAGCCAGTTCTCTGGAACAAGTTTGTGGGTAGAGAGAGTAGGTTAGTAGGTTGAGTTTTTCAGTGGTTGAGATAGACACCTCTTTCTCAACCCATTTATCCTTTTTTTTTCTTTTTGAGACAGGGTCTTTATCTTAGTTAGGGTTTCTATTGCTGTGATGAAACACCATGACCAAAAAGCAAGTTGGGGAGGAAAGGATATATTTGGTTTACACTTCCACAGTACCATTCATCACTCCAGGACAGGGACCTGGAGGCAGGAGCTGGTTCAGAGGCCTTGGAGGGGAGTTGCTTACTGGCTTGCTTCCACTGGCTTGCTCAGCCTGATTTCTAATAGAACACAGGACCACCAGCTCAATGATGGAAACCCAATGGGCTGGGGACTTCCCTTAAATCACCAATTAAGGAAATGCCTTACAGCTGAAATTTATGGAGGCATGTTCTCAATTGAGATTCCCTCCTTTCAGATAACTCTAGCTCATGTCAAGTTGACATAAGACTAGCCAGCACAGCCTTACCATGTAACCCTGACTGGCTTGGAACTCACTTGTATACCAGCTGACTTCAAAATGTGAGGAAGTGATCCTCTGGCCACTGCTCCTGGGTGCTAAGATTTTAGGCATAAGCCTCTGTGCCTCAGCTTCACATCTCATATTTTAAGAGAGTGCCATGCTTATATTCCTGTTTCAGAACCAGTGGGCCACCTGGATCATAGACCCACTGTCCAAGCTCCCCCTGCCTTGCCCTGCCCTGGCTGCCAAAGCCTGGCCGGTCTCTGCAGGCAATTCACTCAAATATTAATCTAGCCATGCCATCTCCCTTGGGCTTTGCCTTTCCATCTTCTTACATCTTCGCTGGGTGCAGCTTTGGGTTTCCTGGCCTGGGTCTGGGGAGGGGTGGCAGCAGGGCAGAAAGCACTAATGGGTTTTGTCATTCAGTGATGAAGAACAGAAATGAGACTGCGGCAGGAAATGAGTATGAGGCAGACAACAAGCAGTCTTTAGCCTCTGTTAGTAGCAGGGAGCCATGTACCTCAGAGAGGCAGTGTTCCCAAACTCCCCACTATACCAGGATGCTTCTGTTCCAAGCATGCCAAGGGGAACCATATGGCCAGGGTGGTAGGTGGGCAATGCTATAATGACCGGGGTTGACTGATGTTTGTCCTTGTGGGTAGAGCTGGGGCCTCTGTGGTGAGTGGTCACAGTGTAAGATCTACGGATTTGCTTTGCCTTGGTGGGGTGGCCCTGAGAGAGAATAGGGTTGGCTTTCTGGATGATCTGGGAGCCTAGGAATTCAGAATAGAAATTAAATCTATTTTTTATAGAAAGGAAATAAATATATATTTTACAAACACTTAGGTCTGAGTCAAAACTGTTCAGGGTCTGTGTTGTTTCCTGGTGGACAGGGTTCTGTATAAGCAGGCTTTGTGTTTATCTCATTCTCTCTTCGAACTGTGCTGTTCATTACAGGGACCTGAAGCAAAATCCTATCTGATAAATCTCCACTGAAAGAACTGGAGATGGCTTGCACCAGCTGCTCTTGGAAGAAAAAATAAGAACAGCGAGAGGAGATGCTGTGACACTCAGAGGCAGTCCTCAGACTGAGATAGTTCAGAGTCCAGCAGTGAATTATGGAGCTCCCCAAGGGCTAGCAGAACTGAGTTAGATGCCAGAAGATGCTAGACCTTGGGTGTATGAACTTGTTCTCTCCACCTTGAAACCTGCAAAGAGAGGGGGGTGGGGAGTCTTCTGCTTTCAAGAATAGGCATCACAAAGCTACAAAGTAGTACAATTAAGACCCAAGGTTTTGTGGTGGGTTGCATTTATCACTATCCTGGATTATAGTAGCCCCTGGGCTATAGGTTGAGCATGCCTGCTACAGACACATTATCTAATATAGCAGTCACCAGTCACATGTGGTGATTAAACACTTAAAATATGGCTAGTCCAACTAAAATATGTCACAAGCATAAACTATATATATTGCATTTTCAAGTTATAGGAATAAACTTTTTATATTATTATATCCCCAAATTGGAATATTTCAGGAATAGTGGAATGCGTGTATGTATGTGTTTGTATTTTTTGAGACAGTTCTCATGTGGTCCAGGTTGACTGAAGGTGACCTTGAACTCCTTTTAAAACAGAATCTCACCGTGTAACTCAGGATAACCTAGAGCTTACCATGCTCTTACCTCAACTCCCAGAGTGCTGGGACAACAGCCATGAACTATCACATACAGCTGATTTCAAAGTCCCAATCCTCTTGCCTCAACATTTCAAGTGCTGGTATTACAAGCCTGTGACATCATGCCCAGTTTAAATTTATGAGAGACATTAATACCACATACACAACTCGTCTTATAGCCTCTTTTGAACACACTGCCATGGAGAGGTCTTGGAGGCCTCCGTGGTCACATCACGGAGAATGGTGTGGCCAGGAAAGCTGAGGGAAAGATGCCAGGAGTAGAAGAAAGTAGGAGAAGTCAGATGGCACAGACTGACATCTTCTCTGTATTTATCACCAGGGAGGAGCAGGCTCACCCTTGAGAGCAGGGAGAGTCTTGTAAGCTTTGTGCCTGGGTCACAGTGTCACCTGCCCTTTGCATGTACATTCCTGTCAGGTTGGCTGTACTTTGCTGTCTGTCCTGTCACTTCAGTTCAGGTACTGTCTGTCTGATGCTGATGTTTTTATTGCACTCATTTGGTGAGTGGGAAATGCCACCAAAGAGATATGGTAGAGCAGGCCATCAAACTCAGGTTCTCTGGTACCTGCCGGTACATGTTGTTACAAAGGGGATGGAGTTTGGGGATGGAAGAGGAGAGACAGATCTGCAGGGACATGGGGGTCGGGGTGTCCCTCCTCTTGTGACATGGAGTAGGGGTTGCATGATCAGAGAGCAGTGTGGATGGGAAGGAGAGGTGACAGAGCAGGGAACAGGATGACTTGAGCCATGGAGGGGGATGGAGCCTGCACTGGGGCAGACCCTGGGCACCACTGAAACCTGACTACATCCAGCATTCCCTGGAGCAGCAACTGGGGACAAGTGACAGACTGGAGCCATACCTTGGAGGTCTATGACCAGATTAAGGGATAGAGACTCTATTCTGGGGGTGTCAGGAGCCTCCAGTGCCCCCAGATTCATACGCCCTATGTGTTCAATTTGTTTCTATCTTTTCAAATATCATCTGTTTTGAGGACCGCTGACTAATAGTGGGTTCTTCAGACAGGAAACACTGTGCTGCTCAAAGCAAGGCTTGGGGTGACCCATCTGGCCTGCGGTTTGCCCAGGTCAGCAAGCCTGGTAGGACTTCCTCTCTTGGGGTTTTAGTGCTGACAGCTGCAAGCCTACAGGACATGCATTCTGTGGAACAGGACTTGCTGTGGGCCTCTAGCCATCCTGAAGCTATCTTTAGGGACAGCTGAGGTCCTAGAAGGCTTCATCCTGGGGGTAGGTCCCAGCCAGTCTCATGGAGTCAGAGCTGGGCTGCCAGCTCTCAGTACCTATCTTGTGTCATCACAGAAAGTAGTCACAGGCACTGGCTCTGAGAGCTGGTGACCCTCTAAGGGGGCGCGGCAGAGCACCAGGGCATCTTGGCCTTTGGCTTCTTCTGTTAAGACTGAAGCAGGTCATCAGAAGCTCTGAGTCCACTAAGGCTCACTTATCCTCCCGGAGTTGATCCCTGCACTTATGTATGGTACTCTCTCGTTACACGGACCCTTTGTTCATGTTTAAGTTTCTGCCACTCTTTCATCTTGATTTATTGATTTGTTGAGGATGGGCATGGGGATAGGTTTTCCTGGAACTGAATCTCGGTGGCATTTACAAGCCA